ATCTGTGTGATTTTATGTCCGTACGTGCACTTCTAACACACACCCACACACGCAATCCTTTATTTAATTGGACCGAAATTGTTTCGCCATTTGCAAAATATTATATGTTGGCATTAGATTGACTATTACTAAATGGACATTTTCGGTTTCGAACATATGAAGCGTTACTTTTCGTGTGGTCAATTTTCTGCATATATCTAATTTAGGAATGAAAAGTGCGAAACGCTAGCAGTGCAAACAAAATTAATGGGCTTATGTGGTCACTCTGCTAAGCATTCGAAACTGTAGGACGGTGCATTCTAGTGAGGGAACACTGTGAATATGGCCACAATATAGATGGAATGGCACGTCCTCCTGCTGGTGGCAGAATATTAATTGTTAGTTTTAGCGATGTGGAAGAAAGCGTTGAGAGTGTCAGATGTTTTCTCGACTTCACCGATGGAAACGCGTAACGTGCACGGAGATCCGTCATACATACATCAGTCTGCATACTGCGCGTTCTCCGTGAAAGGGAAATCACAACTTCCTCCATGTTATGAAGAAGACACTGCAGACATCTCCTATAATCGTGTGCTAATTATGAACTATGTTGTTTACCCCACAGGGAGCATTAGTAAACGCACCTATTCGCTGCTATTTGAACGGACCCTGCAAGGTCTTGTAAAAGCTCATCAACACAGACAGTTATAGAATCGATATGAATCCTGTCTTTGAGAATCCGATTGCAATGCTATGCGTTGACACACACCCTGCTCTCACAAGCTCCTTTCCCGCGGCCAAGGTTCGAAAGACGGTGTGGGACTCAGCTTATCTCGAATTCCTGCGCCTACACTCATATCTCCTCCTTCATGGCTTGACTATAAAAACTCCTCATTTGATGCCGCATTCTCACAGTCTCTGACAATGGCCTCCTGTACGAGACCGAAAGCTCAGTCTAATAAACCTACTGTCCCAGAGATCCTGTATTCATCTTCTTTAAGTGTCAATAAAATTTATGGACGTCTTTTCCCTCCTCATTACATGTTTTTGTCAACGCATGGAGGTGACTCCTGAGTGCATCGCTTCCATGTTACTTTGAATGAGACATGCCGACTGGAAGATCGTTTGCTCCTCAGGTATCTGCAATTTCAGCGTTAGGATTCAAGTGTGCAATTTGCTGACGATTTCTTTTTAACTTGACGGCAATTTTCACTTTTCTGCAGGTAGGGTCGTGGTGTTCGCAGTATGCTTTCTTTACCCGGGCGACATAAATTCAGGTTCCAATATGACAGCAGGAAATTCACGTGCATCAATCATAATAAGAGGATTTGGTCGCACATCCAATCTGCTGCATACATCGTAAGTAATAGTGAGAGTGCGAATGAGAGCACTTATCAACCAAACCACGGGAACAGTCCCTGTATCCTGACTTTAACAAAAAAGCACTAGTATTAGTGGTGACTCTAACTCTAACTGCGATAGTAACTCCCCTTGCCTCCAACTGAATCATCACTTTAAACCCAGTGGAGGCAAATCAAGCAGTGGTCCTAACCATATCCTCACAGATATCCAGGGAAAGGCCACCTGTAACTCAGTTCGGTTGGAGGAAAGGAGGGAGGGGAGCGAGAGAGAGCGTTCGGGTGCGTCCCGCAACATGACGAAATCTGACCGTCAGACAAGGGTCATCAGACAATCACGACATCATGTCAAACTAGCGCATGATGTTTAATCATATTATGAAAGAGTGCAGTACGCTGGTAGGGGATCGCTATTTGGCAGACGACGAACTGCCATTCTCACTTTCCGGGAACCCATTTGAAACCGAGGCAATTTGCGTGTACTGTATCGTAATAAAACCGAATTGGAGCATAAAGTGGCAGTCTGGGTAGTGGCCGGACACCTCGATAACCGCAAACAACCATGTCCACCTTGTCCCCACAGTGGGGTGGTCGCAAGGATAATGACTTACGATGAAGCCACCACTCATGCTCTCTCTCCCTCTCACTCTCTAACCTCTCACACCTCTGGACAGAGTCAGGAAGACCAGACTTGGGATCGGGCGCATCTTGGCATGCAGAACTCATCTGCTCCGCATACGATGAAACAGACGGGCGGTTATTCGATGCACGACAAATAATATTTCGACGCCTCTGCAGGAAATGCGCCGTCATGTCTATTCCGCTCAAAAGACGCCTGCATGCAGACATCATACTTGTAGCCTAAGACAACCTTCTCGGTGGCATCAGCATGCTTTGCTGTAGAACCATTCTGCATGAAACAGCAGCAAAAATCTGCCGAAGACCTGAAGAAGGTGGGTTTGTCAGTTTTGAAAGCTTATAATTACAAAATTTCAGAAGAATGTGAAATCTCCCTGCGTAAGGCAACATGTCTTTTTATCCATCAATGCGGCTTGTAGAGTATACAACATGTTTCATATCGTTAGCGCTCCTAGTCAATCGATAAATCGATTGCACGCTAGGACCAAGTCGATAAATAGCAAGCAAAACGACCATAGCAGAACTAAACTAAATTTCAACGTCGCCCAGTGAAGATGAGAGGCAGTGAGTGAGAGGTCCCCTTGGGAAACCGAAACTCACATCAGTTGGACTGTCCGCCTAATCGTCACATAAACACGAACTTAGATTAAAGTGAATACATGCGAGTTTGGCAAATGTTCGGTAAATAGCAATAGAAATCGTAATTAACAACAATGCTAAGTGGCAGAGCACTTATGAAGACACAACCAGGACAGTTCCCGTGTCCTGAATTTAAGCTTGACACACTAGTGTTAGGGTTGGCTAGAACTCTGACTCTGACAATAACCCCCGTTTGTCTTCATCTGAATTATTATCCTAACCCTACTTCTCTTAAATGCAGCACTGGTCCAGGCTTATCCTCCTGGAATTTCGAGCACTGTGACCAGTAAATCGGGGAGAGTGGGTCCATAGTCCTATGCCAAAACAGGAAATGATGCGTAGATTCTCGATAGAGTGCAAATGATGCGGCTATTGTCCAAAACATGTCCAACGGCAATTTAGGGCATTGCCTCCTGTAATTCGTGGAATGAGGGATACATATTGGCATGGTGGATGGATGTTCGGTTGCTGGTTGGATCCTGAGAGATAGGGTGGATCAGATGGCAGTGCTCGGCGCGTAAGATGTGATGACGAGACAGGCGCCCGTTGTATTCCATTGTAAAATAGCAGATAAAAGTGAAAAAATGCGAGTTTGGCAAATGATCGCCAGGTAGAAATTGTGTATAAACGAAAGATATGACAAAGGAATGCCAAAGTACCATCGCCTAGATGGAAGGCCGGCGGAGGTGGCGGTGGGGAAAGTTGGGCGGGAGAGAGTTGGGAAGTTGGAGAGGCATGGGGTAGGGAAGGTGAAGGATTACAGGTAGAGGGTCAGCACAGTTTTGTTTTGGATGCAGATCCGGCGACAGCGACCTTGATCCGGCCGATGCAGACCACGTAGATAAATCCGGTAGGTCTTGGTGTTTCGTGCGAGCACACGGAACGACCTTCGTATGTCGATTTCAGCGGCTGCTTCACACGGTCACACCGGACAAACTCATGAGGGCAGTTGTCCAAGCATATCCGCACAACTTCGTATACCGGTGCATACGCAAAGGGGGCGAAAGGCCGAAACGCACGTGCTCCAAATCTTGGCGAGCGCTTCCGTATGTCAAGAACGTTTCGGAAGCTGTAAGCCGCCGTCTCACACAACTTGGGGTTGGAGATT